CCTCCCTCCCTCCCTCCCTCCCTCCCTCCCGCCCTCTTCGCTGGCTTTCCATGACACAACTGCTACCGTAATGCTTCACATTCCGCTGCAATGCCTGACGATACACATATTATGCTCTCACGCGATGAAAATCACTCACTCCCTAGTCTTCTTCTTCTTCTTCCGTTTAATATGCAACCACTGCTTCTACCCAATCGATGGCGTGATCACAACCTTCGACTTGCCGTCAACAACAATGCGTACTCTGTCAAATCGGTAATCGAAAATCACTGCCGATTTCTTATGCACAACGTACGTGAGCAGCTCCGGCCTCTCTTCTTGGATCTTCCTCTTCGCCTCTTCACCTGTCATCCCCACCACCTCAGGCCACGACGTTTTCTCCGAGTAATCCGTCACAGTCCTTATGTTATTTCCTTTCGGCCGCTCACCGTCGTTGACATCATCAGAAATCGCCATCGCCATCGCCATCGTGCATGTCAGCACCAGGACTATACACAGCAAGCTCCGCTCCATAGCCATCTCTCTGCTCAACTCCGACTGCACAAATCGCCGCCCACCAGACCCTCCAGTGTGTGTACCTACCTCGATTCGCTCTGCACAGTCTGATTCCTGGCACTACCGCCGCTCAAATAGGCCCTGCCCCCGATCTCGCAGGCAAGTCATTTCTTTCTTGTCTTTGTCTTTCTCCCTTATATAAAGCTAATAAGCTAATATTCTTCTCTCCCAACTTCAGCTCTCACTACCTACCGACCGACCGACCGACCACAACTCCTATACTCGCAAATAGGTCGAACCCAAAGCCGGAGTCCTTCGGGACATCCGTTAAAGGGCCTCACTCCACGACTCTCGACGTGTACGGAGCGAGAGTGAATCTTCCGCTAGAACATGGAACGATACACACCGCCATGAGTTTTGTCTTTTGTGCATGATGTCGGGAGTAGAGCAGTGGAGCGACGCCCAAAATTGGAATTGGAACGGTAGAGGGACTGAGAGCTTTGCTCGTAAGCGAAACTGGCTGAGGGTGCCACGATAACGTCCCAATTGTTTTTTTTTTCTTTTTTGGCCTTGAGGTATTATCATCGGACTAACCAGCCCAGGTAAATTCAATCTTGTGTCTAATCTGACAACGGTGGCCTTTTCAGCCCAGGGTGGCCTGATAGCCTTAGGGTGGCCTGATAGCCTTCAGGGATCCCCCAGGGGACAACTGGTAGCAGAGGGACCGAGCATCATCTGAGTGGCCAGTCGCTGTGCCTCCCTGAGTACCCCTCCCCCTATGAACATCAGCAGAGACTGCTTTTTAATGCCAATTGGGGGGACCAACGGGCTATCTCTAGGTGGCGGGCGCCAAGCATGCCCAGGAAGGTACATGAGGCCAATGGGGATTGAACCCAAGACCTGAATGCCACTTGCGTGCCTTAGTCCCAATTGGTTTTTTTTTTTTTTTTTTTCGTTTTTGAAACAACACACATCGGTCCATATATTCAAAAAAGAGCCAGTCGAGGCCGGGGACCTCACAATTCAACCCGGAGTTATCCTGGCAGCATCAACCAGTTTAGCTTATAGTCACCCAAACTGAGGCCTTACAATCACTTACTGTCTACAACACTAATAGGCATTCTCTTTTCCGACCATGACACCCTAGTGTGAATTAAATCAGAAATCTCTTCTCCATTTATAAAATCTTTTCTGTAGCTTACCCACATCAAAATAGCAGGGTGGGGCAGAGGTAACCTGGGGACTCCGATAGTTACCATAACCTTACGGTTTCCTGTGTAGTCCAGTCCTGCTACCTGGTTCTGTTCTGTATCAATTTTCCACAGTCGTTTGTTACACTGATGTATCTGTCAAAACCTCCTTGAAGTCTGTAGTGGCTACTGAATCTATTGCTAAGTCTCTGACTGCTACTGTTGGGTTGTTTCTATCCACCTCTCTCCCTCCTACCTACCTGCCTAGCAGAGCCTACTTGCGGCCCCCTCCGGCCTATCCTCTGTCGGATGAAACTCGCATTCCTTGTCACCAGTGCCACTCTACCACCCGCCTTCCCCATTATTGCCTCCTGCGACCATCACTCTGTGTGTAACCGAGTGCCCCGGTTCCCCTCCTACGAAGACTAATACTGGCTCCAAGTACCACCTCTACGTTAGAGTTCACACTCCTCCACATGCAGGCACCTCTCTTATCCAAGGGGAGAGACTCAACTATTTAGTCGTATGGACTCCTGCTAGCTGATGTCTGACTGCCCATGTGTCCAGGAACCACTGAAGTTGTCTTCGACTGCCTTTCCCTGCTTTTGCCCTTTTCCTCCAATCGACCTTGATTGCCTCCCTCAGCCCCTGTCTCACTGCCCTCTTAACCTCCAAGTCTGAGAGCGTCCTTTTCTCAAATCTGGCCCTGTTTCTATCCCTCCAAATAATCTCACACAGTAGGCCTCTCACCACTTGGGCAATGTATGCCCAGCCACGCTTATTGCAGGTGCCTTCTGGAAGGAAACCGAATAGAACCCACTCTTCCTCCCAATCAACTATTTGATCTCCAAAATGCTGCCAATGGTGCTTCCACCATCTCCATATTCTACGTGATGCAGGACATTCCCACCAGAGGTGCTTCGTAGACTCAAATGGCCAGCTACAGCGGGAGCATTTGAGTTCCACTTGCATCCCTCTACTTGTGAGCCAGACTGCTGAAGGCGTCACCATCATGGGTATCTGCCATAGAATCGAGACTTGCTTGCCATTTGGCAAGAAGGAGAGCATTTTCCACAGATCGTGAAAGGAAGACTTTTTATCTGATAGATCTTCAGTGGAAACAGCCTGCCATCTGCTTGTGGCCACTTCTGCGGGAGACCTTGTGTTGTTCTTCTTCCATCTCAAACTGTAACTTTTAGCCACTGAGAAATCCGCCAGGCGTAGTTTAGGGGACCTTGCGTTACCTGACTTCCAGCTCCAAGCTACCGGGTCAATTCGCAGTTTCTTGAGAGGGACATGACCCACCCATACCCACCTGGCCTTTGCTCGCTGTGTGTCTCTACGATCCACCACCCTTGCTTATGGAGGGTTGTCCCAAACTTGAATCATCGATTCACTGGTATAAGACAATTCGTTCGAATGTCTCTGGCACTGCCATTTCTGTACTTTCCTGAAGCCGCTCGGGAGGATTTCCACCAGCTTCCATACTACCTCCGAGTCTTTACTTTCCGGGCAGTACCAGGTCCCTTCCGGATCGATTCCTTCCGGGCCCAGTATTTTGTGCCATCCCTCTGGGATGGCTTTTATTAGTTGTAGCCAGTGTGATTCCACATTTCTCAGTGGAGCTAGCTTGTGACGAACGCATTAACAATGAGGGGTCCTAAGCTGGGAAGGTTGGGCCAGTTACGGGAGAATGGGATTGAAGGGAAGTTGCATCGGTGTCCTCGCTTCTTCGTCTTTTTACGTCGCTTCTTTTTGGATGGTTGGGTTCAGGCCAGGGCGAGTCCTGGGGACGATCGATGAGTGGCGCGCCGTCGAGCGTGCGAATAATAATGGTTGACGTCGCTTCCTTTTGTTTTGCTGCCGGATTTTAGGCGCGGAGACCACGCGAGAATTTTGCTTTGTTCTTTTTGAATTTTCTTTTCGAATTTTATCGGCTCTCGGAATTTCGGACCTTCTTTCGGAATTTGCGTCTAATAAAGATCCTTTTTTTTGCATCAGCTAGGAATTTAGGAATTTAGGATTTCTTTTTGCCGCGCGCTGCATTTTTGCTTGCGCGCTTCTTTTTGCGGTTGCAACGGAGTTCTGATTAGTCGGCGCCGTTAATTTTGTGTGTAACCGTAATTTTGGGCGAGCATCATTGCAACTGTATCTTTTTTCTTGATCTTCGTCTTTCCCGCCCTCCCCTTCTCCCTTTTTGTCTTGCTGTGTCTAAGAGCAGCCCGCGGCCTGCATGCTCGGATCGATGCGTGGATAGTGGCTACGACCCCCACACCGCGATCTGGCCATGCAGAACGTAGGCGCTCCCTCCCCTGCTCTCCCTTCTGAGTCCTTGTAATTCCGTGTTCTTCGCGCATGCATGCACGCTATAAATTCTGGCTGTGCGATTAGATAGCTCTCTTAACCAGTGGTTGGAAACTCGGGGTAGTGCGATCAGTGAGGGTCGACTCACGAGCGAAGTAAGAGGTGAGTAAAGTAGGAGTCGCGCGACCCAACAAACTGGTGCCGAATGCGCGGGGTTGACGCGTGGGGCTACAACGAATTGTAGCGCGCGGGCGAATTTGACGGGTGCCGGAGGACCAAGCGGGGTGACGACTTCGTGGGTTGGTGTGTGACGACGAACTGTCCGCATCGAAGAGAGAGAGAGAGAAGAAGAGAGAGAGCTGAGGTTGATGGATGTGGATTTGCAATTTTCTTTGTTTTGTCTCCCTCTTTGCTGTTGTAAATAAATTTTGATCTCGGCTCAGGGCGACCCGCCCGTTTTCCTTTGCTTTCGAATTCGTTGTCTCGGTTTCAGCCCACACTCGTTTTGCAATTGGTCTCGATCTCGTCCATTGCGTGTTTTATCGAATAAATGAATGAATGAATGAATGATATGGTTATCGCTTCTCTTGTCTGGTCATCATCATTGCTTCTGATGTGGATTGCGATGTCTGATGTATAACGACACTTTGCATACTTGAGAATGAATGCTTGCGGATCACTGAGTGATTAGATGCTTGGGTAGCTGCCCGTGGTTCGTGACGATCTTGCATGAGGAATTAGACTCTCGTTTTTGCGGGAACAAGCAAATACCTCGCGGGATACGTGTACACGCGATCTGATCCGCGCAACCTACACGTATCCACGCGCGGCGATTCGCGACCATTAACGAAACCGATAGGTGGGAATTCTCCTCCTCGCACGCACCTAAACGGATAGGAACTTCCGATGTCACATCGAGAAATCCCCTATCCGGTTAGATGCAAGCGAAAGGCTTCCACTACGTCGTAATGACCAGATGCCTAGCTCATGGGATTCAGAGTACTTCGAACCGTGGATAAGAGAAGAACTTAGGCAGAGACGACCAGAATTTCCCTGCTTAATCGAAAACTGGTTGTGTCCCCAGGAGTTTCACTGTGCTGTGACCAGCGACCCACGGTGCCCCGACTACCCAACTACGTATAACACGCAATACTTCATATCCCCCAGATTTGTCGTTATCGCTACCAATTTCCTTCCCTTCTGCCTCCTCCTCCCATACCACCAACTCACGGTGGTTCCGTGGAATTCCATGCCCCGTACCGACCTTGCACACCTTGCGGAAATTGCCAGCGACGCAGCAACTGACGAGCTCCTTAAACTCGAGGACCTAACCAAAATGTGTGACGACAGACGCCACGTGCCTGCACCCAACGGTCCGACTCATCGGGAGCACAACCATCCCGGCGCGGGCCTCTCCCCGAACCACCACCGCCAAAACAGACGGATCGGACAATCCTGAATGCACCGCGCATGCCATCTGCCTTATGCTGCGCGACATCGAACGTCGTCCGAGTCAGACTCGAAGAAACTCGCCCCTTTAGCTTTATTGCATCTATGCCCCTGAACCCTTACCACAGGAGATCTCAGTTCTGATCTGGGACTCCACCCCCACTTTCCCAAAAATCCTTGGCACACCCCTTTTCGCAATTCCAGGCCCACATCCTACTCCGATCAGGAAGCCGCGCCGGGCGTGAGGTTGGTATCGGATCCCGACACGTGGCAGGGTTCTGAGACTCATGGCTGGGCGATCTGGCTAACAGGGGACGACCTCGACCCCGAAACGCGCATAGAC